CGGGCCCTTGAGAACAAACATTTCACTAGGGATAGGAACAAAACTGGTAAGATGAAGACATTGATTTTAATCTTTTGTGTTCCAAGTGAAACATTGGAGTTTAAACTTCAGTTTAAGAGTTTCAATAGAAGTGATGTTTGTTTATTCACGAGGTGGGTTTGGTATTCTTACGTCTTACCATTCCTATTTAGTGAGCTTACTACAGGTTTAGCGAGGTTAAGGGGTGTCTTGGCTGAGGGCCAAATAATGGACAACTTGCGTGGTTGGCGTAGTCTGACGTTTGAAACTAACTAGTACCCAAATAAAACATTAAAGGGTATACTTTCATGAGCTATAGATATTTGACAGTTTGAACGTTTAAAGTTAGTTTAAGGTAGAAGTAAGAATGGTGCATGTTTCTGACTTGTAGTGACCAAATCAGATAGGTACTTTGGTGGTGTGCGCAAAAAACTGGCACTGAAAGGTGTTGATGCCCGCTCAAATGCACAATCGTTAAAACAAGACTTCAAAAATTTTAAGGCGTTTGAAGGCAGAATGCTCAGTTTATCTAAGACGTATCTACCACTAGCTTGAATCATTTATTAGAGATTAAGACTAACTCAACTTTATAGACTTTGAGAAGGCCTTCGACAGCGTTGACCGAGAAGTAATTTGGAAATTACTCGAGGACTACGGCGTAACCCAAATATTCATCAACCTTATTCAACAGCTGTACGACAACGGCACATGTCAAGTGATCCACAACGGAAAACTCAGCGAGGGCAGTGGAAGCTATGATGTGATTATGCATGGCGACAGTAAAGCAGTAGTCATACAAGAAGTTATGATATGATATTTAAGAATGTTTATCGCCGAGAAGATAAGTTAATTTGGTTGAAACAACATTAAACAATCATAAAATAACATTTCAGGGTTGTTATTTTGTTTTTTATTGTCAGGTCTAATGCAATGTTTGTAGTGGTAGTGTGAGTAATCCTGCATAATACAAAATTTTAAGATGGTGATAATGGCTCTCGCTACCGAGATTGTCAGTTAATATTGCCGAACAAAAAAGAACAACAACCACAAAAACTAATAATTACATGATGGTTAATGATAGGAAAATGTTGTACTACTCATAGTGCTAATATAGTCGGAACCAGTGGGTACACAAAAGAAGGAATACAATAAAGTACAAAAGCAAGGCAACGTTAATAATTCAGGTAGCTAAGTATGTTTAAGAAGGAGTTCACTATCGAATACAAAATAAGAGAGAAATAAAAGAGCCAAAATTATGTTGTTAATAACAAAGCAAGTCATAGATTTCGCGCTTAACATTGTCTCTGTCACTTAGAACACGAGCCAAGTATGATATCGTTGAGTTCCTGTACTTGGTTTTACGAGCATAGATTATTTTATATTGATTTCTGGTTCTACTTGATGAGATACAAGGCAAGAGTTTGGAATAGAGTGGGTGTTGGGGGTCGGAGATTACGGTTTTAGACCATTTTTCGCATGTATTCAGATACCTTTCAACTAATGTAGTGACGAGCTTACTGAGTGTTACACCACTAGTCCTACTAACTACCCTCAACATCCTTCTCAGGATGATGTAGTCCTTTTTCAAGCAAAGCAATTAAACATCACAGCATTGCCAATTCGCCTCCAATCACTTATTGCATAATTCAAGTCTGTTAAATAGATGCTGTTTGCACCTGAACGTCAGCTGATTAATATGATGGTTATGATAATAATGATGGCTGTTTTTGTCTCTCCGCCTGCCTTTTCTTTATTTGTTCCATTTTTGTCATAATGTCTAAATGGGGAAAAACACTGATAGAGAAAAATGAAATACATTATGACTACGTATCATTCATTTGTTGTCCTGATTCCGTGCTGCCATTATTATTATTATTATTATTATTATTACCATTATGGTTATTTCAGTATATTTGGGTGAAACCTCAAACAACTGTTCGTATAAATCCTTGTAGATTAGCACATGCTGGAATGAAAGGACAGCTACACACTCACACACAAACAGACGGACAGATAGACAAGCGTATAGAATGAAAACTAACATGTAAACGGCTAGTGTTCACTGGAAAATTTCATCAGTACAGACAGCTGTTATACACATTCAATTGAGGAAGATAAGATTGAACAAACAAGGAGTAGAGATTTATTGAAAAATAAAATGACTGTTTTTATCCAGTTGAGGTTTTAATACAATCTGCGAAAGGACTGTAATTATTATTATATTATTGTTGCCTTTAGCTCCCAGAGGAATATAAGACTTCAGCCGAACGTCTCCAGTGAGTTCGGTTCTCCGCCAACGTTCTTCACATCACCTCCTCCTCCACGTCCCCCTCACATGGACAACCAACTCGCCGTTTCCCATTCGCCTTCCACTCGAGTGATGGCCTGCACTGCATGTGATGCCATTCACTTGATGGTTTTTTCAGAGTATGGCCAACCCACCTCACTTTGCTCCCTGCATATTTCTTGCACTATTGCTTCCTGTTGAGTTGGTTCCCTCATTGCCAGAGATCCCTCACTATTGCTGATTGTTTCTGGCCAGCCATCTGATTGGGTTGAGTACTATTGGGTGAAGATAGCTGCTGTTGATGGAGGTCCGTAGTTTGCTCGAGGTGGCCTTCGTGATGCGGCGCGGCGCGGCACGAAGTCTCTGACCCGTATAGTGTCACTGACTTCACACTGAAGTTGAAAATCCGCATCTTATTTTCATTTTCATTCTGAGTGCTGTTGATCTCCGCACAGACTTGAGAGTGATGGGAGCTGGCCTTGTTTTCTCAATCCTCTCTTTGATATCCTCATCAATTCCGTTCACCTGTAGTTGAAACGGCGAAACTTCCCAGAAAGGCATTTGAAGTGGAGACAGGAGTTAGACGAGTAGCCCTATTACCATTTACGATGATATCTCTAATTGTGGTGGACTAGATTATTTGGAAGACTGTAAATGAGGTGCGAGAAGAAAGAAGTACGTTGAATCTATAAGAAGACTCTAGATGACCTCTACTTAGCAGATGAGTTATGTCTTATGTCACACAAAATCAAACACTTAGAGAAGAAAACCAACAACTTGGTAAAACAAAATGGCAGTGAAGATAGCCCTTCAAGTGAACACAGAGAAAACGTAGGTTATGGTGATATCTAATCGCCCACCACCAACAACAAAAGCAGGTACCAGTCACTCACAATAGGATAAATTTGAAAGAGATCACTTCCTCTACTTATCTAGGCATCATCCTTTCAACCACAGGCACGCCGGAATCGGAAGGTCAGGGTACACCTTCATCAATCTCGAGTCAGTTTAAAAATCCTCTGCACTCAGCGCTAAGAATACACCAGTGTTAAGTCAGTCAATTCTCCTAAGGGAGTCAGAAACTTGGCCAGTGCGTCATGGAAAGCATTTCCAACAGGCTGCATATTTTATCGATAATTGCCTTCACTGCTTCCATACTGAAGGTCAGATGGCCGTCCTGAAATGATTGGTAACAGGAAAGTCTCGGAAAGAACCTATTACTAAACAAATATTTGAAAGAAAATAGAGATCGACTGCACAAACTCTGAGGAAACTTAAATTGTGGTAAAAGCCGTCTGCAAGCCAAAATTTGTAGACAACAATTGACGTCAGTGTTCACGTCCCGAATCGGGGTCATGAGAAAAAAACAATAACAAAGCTTAACCTTGAGAAAATCACCAGCCAATCACAATGGAGTTAAAGTGTGGAAATATAATTCACAGATGTATGGCTTAACTTTCTGAGAAACTGTCACAAGCCATACAGAATGGCCTTCAGTAAGAAAAGAACTAATCAGAAGAGGGTGCTCCTCCGCTAACAATGATATACATAAGAATCTTTAAATATTCTTGATTTTCTCAATAAACGATGTGTTGCCTAGCCCTTGTCTTCTGTCGTCACAAAATGACGTTGCGCGCCAGGCCATCGTTCTAGTGGAACAAGAATGGCGAGCGACAAGCTGGGCTGTAGTCCAAAGGTAACATGGAGGTAACCGAGCGAGGATGTGGTGAGGGATTATGTTTAACCGTGGGTTCAGCTGAATAGGAGTGTTGAAAATAAAACATATCTTTCAGGTCATTAAATAGTAATTTTCCACTAGAAAACGCTTCACGACCACATATACGACGAATGCTAGTGGCAAGCGATAGAATCAGGCTTTGTTTTCAACCAGTCGGCATCCAGCTGTAGTGATTATTCCATAACAGCTTTCTTTAAATTGATATCTTCAGAGAACCGTCAGCCATTCTTGATAAGTTCATATAGAGGAAATGAATGTTAGAATTGCTCTTGATTACAGGGTGACTTTCACCGCTGGATGGAAGCCATTAAACGCATTTAATATACATATTGTTCGAATCATTATCACTATCAAGAATAATAAAGCCGTCGTCTACATACCTTTCTAGACTGGCAATTACACAATCTGCAAGAAGGGGACCCAACGGAGGTCCCATGGCAATTTTTTTCTTCTACACGTTCTCCAGTGGAACATAGGGCTTCAAGCTAGTGGCTTGAGGTTTCTGTAGTAGTGTTTATTTTACGGGATGGGATTGGTAGCCTCATGCCCAACCTTTCCTCATTACCAGCATTATTTCTGGCTTAGCGAGGTAAAGGAGTGCGACTGTGCCCGGAGATCGAACCCCGGACCATGTGCATGGTCGGCGAGTGTCCTAACCGCTATGCCACCAACGCTTCCTATTGCAATACTCCCCCATAATCTGTTAATCGTTTAACTGTAAGTAAACTGGCGACCAGATATCTGAAAATCCACTAAATACTTCAGTATTTTTGACAATTATAGGAATGAACAAGTATATAAAGGTAGTATTTGTGTAGAAGATTTCCTACTAACATTTTCGCTAACCTTTGTTGTTTTTCCGTCTTTGTCGTTGCATTCCGCCTCCCACCACCCCCCGCGCCTGCCGTCCCCATCGTGAAAACAAACGTCTACCTATCCTTCGCTAACATAAATCAGACGTGATGCTATGAATAATCAACATCAACAGAGAACAATAAAAAATGTTGGCTATCGACTGGGCAAACGAAAACGTCTCTTTGAGAAACGCTGTCGAATATCTGATTTCTCATTAAGTTTTGCTGTATTCGGTATATTGGTCATGCTGATTGAAACAGAGTTTACATTTGCTGGAGTCTATGAAAAGGTTAGTTGATTAGTAATGTACATATAATTTCATGCTTTATTTTTTTATTTTTTTATTTTGATTTACAGCTTGATTCCACACCGTATTTTCAGTACAAGTGTGGAATTTTCAGCATGGATATCGGTAGCCCAAATTCAGGCCGACCATAGATATCAGGTGTGCGCCGGCAGAAGATCGAACCCGGACCATGTGCATGGTCGGCGAGAGTCCTAACCACTGTGCCACCGACGCACATTGATTTAAACTTTTGATTTGACACTAGTAACTAGTGTGATGCGTCTAGTCCTCTTTTCGGTGCAGAATGAATTCTGTCAGTCAGGTTGTAATGTGGTCACCATTCTAGGTAGCTCACCATCACGGTGTACATTGTTTGCGATGATATTAGATGATTGGAGGCAATCGGCAGGAAGCCTTGGACCTAGGTTTCGTGCTAGTTGGCACTCGTCAGCAAGGCGTATCTGCAACCTTGAAGGAACTCATGTCCCTTCTGAGATTCAAACCCGCGTCACCCAGTGCACCAAAAAGAGGACTAGATGCATCACACTAGTTACTAGTGTCAAATCAGATATCCACTACAGTCCTACAGGAGGTCAATCGCGAGCCCGAATGGCTCAGTGGTAACGTCTCTGACTGCAGGTGGCACTGGGTGACGCGGGTTCGAATCTCAGGAGGGACATGAGTTCCTTCAAGGTTGCAGATACGCCTTGCTGGCGAGTGTCAACTAGCACGAAACCTAGATAAAAGGCTTCATGCCAGTTGCCTTCAACCATCTAATATGATTTAGACTTATTTTATTATACCCTTGGGTTCCAAGTGAAACACTGTGCTTCAACAAAACATCTCTACTTTGTCCTGTCCTTCTCTGCATCTTATCCTAGTCAGCTGGATACATGGTTACTTGTAAGCTTCCGTCTTTTTCTCACACGATCTCCTTCATATCACCTTCAGACATACATCCATCTCGTTGTTTCCCTTGTTGAAGGTCACCCAATGGTCTCTTTATTCTAATTGTCTGATACACATCCATTTTCTCTGGAATATTAGTTGAGCATTTGGTTCTTGACTGGTTCGTTCCGAGAATTTTGTATTGCTAATTCTTTTCAGTTGGTCAACTGCCCTTCAGTAGGGAGGCAGAGAAAACAGTTATTGATTAAAGTCTGAAACGACCTGTTGGAAGTGCTTTTTTGACATACACACATGCACGCCAAGTTTCTGACCCATCTATTGTGATTGCAGCGCAGATTTCCAAACAGATTTCATTAAAGTGATGAGGGTCTGTTTGGCCTTTCTGATTCTGGTTGACTGTGACATCCTCATTAGTGTGTGCCTGTTGTTGAAACTACAGTGCCTAGATAAGTGATAGAAGTGGCCTCTTTAAAATTTCCCCCCATTGATAGTGACTGGTACTTGTTGGTATTGTTGGTTGTTTATCTTCATTATCCCAGTCTTCTCTGCATACTCATTAAGTGCTTACGCTAAGAGGAAATCTCACCAATGCAATCCACACTACTTTTGTGTGATATAAGTAGTAGCACATAAGTGAAATAACCTATTCCCACCAGTTGTACAGTTTAGTCAGATTAAGGTGACCTGAACGCTAATCAACTGTTTGGGTTAACTGCAATAAAAGTTTTATCATCATTTAATTCCTTTCTATGAATTCGTAGGAAGTTTGATCAGTGCGAATAGCATTTATCCACCGTATTTCCCCTGAGATTCGAGATCCGCATGCATTGTTCATGAAACTAAAGCTTTACACCTTAGACTATTGCGTCACGCATAAAGAATTTGTAGCAAAATTCTAGATGTAACTGACTGACAGATAGGAAGATCAGGAAGATTCTGTCATTTCAACGAATACATTCTCTCGGAGATATACACTTGTGGAAAATTAAGTCAACAGAAATTGAGATCTATACTACCGCAAGGACTGGAATGCGTCGATGGCACAGCGGTTATGACTCTTGCCGACCATGCACATGGTCCGGGGTTTGATCCCCTGACGACGCACACCTGATATCAATGGTTGGCCCGAAATGATTAGTTAGAAAGTTCGTTAGCTCATCTACCAAGTGTACTAAGGGTCATTTCATAGATCCCATTGCTCTATTTAGTAAGCAGTACTGTTGTCGGACTATTCATTTCAGTTTATTCCATAAGAAATTGTAGTGACGTTTCCCTTCGATTTGTGTAAACGACGAATTGAATATACTCCGCTTGAATTGTTTTGTTTTATATCCACTTTCCGTTAGACATTGAAACAAGCCACTAATGCAAAGATTATCTTTTGAAGGCTGCCATTCAGTTTATCATTGCATCATTGTTGAATAGAGACTGGAATGGCAGTCACTACTCTACCTCAACTTCATCGACTTTCAAAAGGCCTTTGGCAGACAGCGGCGATCGGAAGGTGATTTAGCAACTACTTCGCTACTACGGAATGTCACTAACAATTAAACATCACATCCAACAGTTGTACGACAATGCTGCATGCCAAGTAATCCACAACGAAAAATTCACGAAGTCCTTCGAAGTGAAGACAAATGAGACAAGGCTGTCCACTATCTCCAAGGCTTTTCCTGGTTGCGGTAGACTGGATATTGAGACATACAGAGGCGGGTAAGCGAGAAAACAGGCATAAAATGAACACACATAAAAACTTGGAGGATCTGTACTTCGCAAACGTGATATATGTCTGATTTCCCACAAACTGGAAGATATGAAAGTGAAGAGCTGCAGGGTGGACATTGAGAAAACAGAGGTGATAAAGATTCCCGGCCAACAGCAACAACAACAGACAGCAACTAGGATAAATGGGAGAAATCTGAAAGAAGCAGCCTCCTTTACCCACCTGCCTGGGAAGTATCGTTTCAAGTACAGGCGGATGGAACTGATGAGGATATAAAAGCAAGGATTGGGAAAGCAAGCAAGCTTTCATTTCTCTCAAGTCTGTGTGGAGATCAACAGCAATCAGCATAAAAAATAAGATCCTGATTTCAACTTCAATGTGAAGTCAGTTTTACTACACTGATCAGAGAATTGACGCCGCGTCACGAAGGGCACTTCGAACAAACCACAGACATTCATCAACAGGTGTCTTTGCTAAACACTTCACTGAGTATTAGATGACCGGCCAGAAACGATCAACAACAGGAAGTGATTTCTGGCAGTGAGCGAACCAACCCAGCAGAAACTGATTGTGCCGCAACAAATATGCAGGGAGAAATGAAGGTGGATTGTCTGGCCATTCTCTGGGGAAGCAAACCACCAAGTGACATAACATGCAGTGCAGGCCATCCCTCAAGTGGAAGGCGAATAGGAAGTGGCTATTTGTTGATCAGTGCGTGGGTGACATAGAAGAGGAGGTGATGTGAAGAGGAGATGAAAGCACGTGGATAGACGTGGAAGCAGGCGATGAAAATGTTAGCAGAGAACTGAAGGCAATGGACACGTGAGGCTGAAGTCCTATGTTCCTCCAGGAATTATAGGGAACAAGAAGAATAATAAACTGTTATTAATAAACTACACCACCACCAACAACAACAACTAACACTACTCACGCTACCTTGTAGATCACCGACAGCATCGCAGTCCTTCAAACATTTTCCCATGCATCCAGCTCCAAAGACTTGCATCCACAGTATCTTCACTACTGATAGAGATATCGTTGTCAGTCGTAAAAAACAGAACATTAATCCGTTGCTGGTACAAAACATTATGGACATCAAGAGCAGACTAAGTCTTACACTGACTGCTATATTCGAAATTATTATCAGCCATTCTTTGTTACAGATATCTCTGATCCCATAGTCTGTTGCTCATCAGTTTATTCTATTAGTCGTAACCTTCTTCGTGTTATTCAGCCGAAATTTCCTAAAGGTGAATAACTGTTATAACTTCTCTGAAGACATTACTCGTTATGTTACTTTTATCTGCTAATAAGTAGCACACTACTCACACTAATATGACTGCTCCTGTAACTCTGTGATTATGTTGATGATGAACTACTTTGATAACAACCTCTTTCCCCCTCTCTCTCTGTATCTCAGTTAAGCGTTTCTTTTCCTTTGTACTGAAACATAAAATCGACTATCTAAAACCCGGATATCCTGTAAACAATGTTTCCATCAAAAATATTTAAAAAATGTAGGTGGGTTACCTGTATATCCTGTTCTCTGCTATTTTTAACTATCAGTTAAATCAAGACAAGAGAAGAGGCAGTACAATCACTTTGAAGTTTCTTTTAGTGCTTCTTCTTTATCTAATTCCTCTTCTTCTGCTTCTTTTGGTTCTACTTTACTTTCCTGTTCTAAAAACTTAATGTGTACGCATATGAATGTAGGCTGAATAACTTCCTGCCAATAAGTTTTCTTTTCAAATTTCTCCTGTTCTCATTTAAGAGGTATTCTTTTTCATTGGACAAGAGGAACAGATTTGATTTCAAAGAGGCTTTCCATTGGGATTGAACTTCAACTGACAGATGTTTCATTTTTGAAATGTATTGCGTTAAATAGTGACCTGCCTTCTACGCTTAGCTGTTTCGTTATCAACTAAAGTCTCACTGTGTTGGAATCATCGGAAAGCAGTCCTTGTGGATGTTTTCCTAACATCTTTGAGTTGAAATCTTTCACTTATAAAGTGCTATTGAAACAGCAGTCAATTTTCGTTTGTTTTGTTGCCAGTCGAGTGTGAGTGTGCGCTGCATCTATTGTTAACGCTCTATATCCTGTGTTAGGTGGAGTAATTTGAAAGTAGGCGTAGAATCCTAGGTAAGGTTTGTAAGAGAATTGATGAGGATTTGAAGCTAAATTGATTTTGATACAAACAAGTATAAGATTTGATAGTCTGTAAAATTCCCATATTATGAATTAAAAGTCAATTTGAACGAAGAATATTCTTTTTCAATAACTTTTTCTCCTCTTCAGGTTCTTACAATTGTCGTTACAATAATGATAGCCAGTTATGCGGCGGATACATTTATTTTTACGTAGAATAACAGA